TTTCCAACTGAGGAAAATTTCTTTTTTTGCGCTGGGGGGGGGGGATAAAATGAGGATTAACCGTCTGTTTTTACCACCTAACAATGGGGTGTGAATGGTGATAGATTATTTTATTGCGCTACCCTGTAGATTAGCATTGGATGAGCAGTTCAAAAGCTTGTGTGAAAGTGCTGCTACTTCCCATCCTGTCACTACTCTGGACAAAATATGAGTCCCCTCTAACACATCTTGCCATGATTTTTATTTTTATTACCTGGTGCAGCAAGTTATACTCATAAGTTCACCATCCAGGTCCCTCTCCTACTGTTCCTGGGTACAGGGTAGGCCACTAACCGAGCGCTGCAGATGTTGCTGTGACCGCTTGTCCCAGACAGTCATTTGACACTGTCACTTTGGATCCCAAGAGGACCGCGCTGCTGGACAGCAAATAGGAAGTGTCCATTGAGGTGGATACCCTAAGAACCCCTCTACTAGTACACCGAAGATTCGGTGTCAGAGTGTCACCACCTTAAGGAGTAGTATACACAGCACAACCATTCACAATGTTTCGTTGTGGCGTGTTAACAAATGATAGTGCAGACAAAATCAGACATGTGCCATTCTTTCCAACACAGCGTATAACACACGGCGGTAACATGGACCCGCTACTGCTATGCAAGGGGGTGACTGGGCCATTAGTGGTCTTGGGAGTAGTGTGTAATATGTGGATGTGTCATTTGTAGTAGATATAGGTGCCAAGTCACAATGCCAAATGTAGTACAAATACAAGGTTCCATGTGTATCTAGCATTACTAACATGCTGTATTTGTATGTAAGACCTAGGAAGCTTCCGCGAGTGCCAGAAAATCTTCTGAAGAAACGAAAGAAGTATCAAGGACTGAAGGCAGCAGAAGCCAAAAGAGCCTTAGAAGAAAAAAGGAAGGTAAATGGATTATGGCAGCTACAGTCTTACATTGTCCTTTGATTCCGAAGCCCAAAAGGGATCTATAATCTATATGCCTTGTTCACACCATACGTGTGGCGGTGGTTTGTCGAAAAACGCAGCTCAACTTCTAGAGGAATCTCCATTGCATTTAGGCAGTTGCGACTGATGGCCCAGCCAAACAGTTAATGTATGTGATACGAGATGAGTTTGAGGCTCTGGGCCCAGTTTTCTAGGTGGTTGGTGGGAGTCTCAGCCCAGTGGTCTGGGTTCGGCCACTACTCACAAAAATGGGGTTCTCCCTGAGTCAAAGGATTATCCAATTTTTGAAATTTGATTTGTAAACAATTTGATTTGTAAACAGTTCTTTGGTTCTTCAACTTTTAGAATTACAGTAGATATCCATCATGTTTTGGGGGATCAACAATCGCCCTTCATCAGGGCTTAAAGTGACATTGAAGTCAACAAATTATTTCCCTCCCCCCAATGTTAATTAAAGCACTTACTTTAAAGGGGGGCTATAGGGTTAGGGCTTTTCCCCATAGTTCTCCTAAGGGTAACAGGAGGACACAAACTAGCGTCCTCCCGTCACCCTAAGCTCAGTATACCGCAAGCTATCTGACGGAGCTCCTTTCGGCAACCATTCCTTCCGTCCCGTTGTCAGATCATGACCCTGTAGTCCTGTCGTGCAGTTCGTTTTTTCCTCCCCGTCCACTCCCTTTTGGTCTCTTAATGACCCTAAGGTTGTGACCGAGCTTTTATCCATTTCCGAAGACTAGTTGTGTATCAATTCGGGCTCTGACACCACCACCAGGCCCGGCGCTACCGCAAGGCAAGTCAGGCGGCCGCCTGAGGGCGCTGCAGGGTGAGGGCGGAAAAAACAAGACCCCCCCTGGAGCTCCTCCCACCGCACCAGCGCTGACTCGCCCCTGCTCTCCCGCACCGAAGGTAAGTGAAAAAAAAAAACATACTGATAGGGAGCAGGCCCAGTGCGACAGGGGGTCGGGGGTTGTGTGTGGGGGGCGCAAAAATTCTACTTTTGCCTGTGTTGGCAAAAATGCTAGCACCGGCCCTGACCACCACCCATCGTTTGGGATTCTTATGAAGCAGTATTACGGGGCCAACCTTTCCATATAGCTTTTCAGCGTCGCAACTCAATGGGATGAGTGCAGATTAGAACTGGAAGCGGAACTGGAATGCCTTTCCCAGTTGCACAAGACTGCACTGTCACTGTGGCTCCATGCTCACCTTGGAAAACTAGAATCGAGCTCAACTTGTGCCTTAATTGTTGGCCAGAATATAGGCTAGCCATATCAATTCTTTTCTGGCTTGTCTGGTTCATGTGGACCAGATCGGTTTTGTACCTCGTAGGCAAGCGGGAGATAATGTCCGTCTCGTCTTAAAGCTTATCCACCTGGCTCGTTTGCACTCCCAGAATCAATGTTGCTTTCTTTAGATGTCCGTAAGGCATTCAACTCACTCTCTTGGCAATACATGTTTTTTGCCCTGTGTAAGTGGGGCTTTGGGGAGCACATTCTGGTATGGATCTCGGCGCTATACTACCAACCATCAGCTTCTATCCTGGTTCGGCAGAATACACGCAACCAAAATGTCCTACTTGCCTAAACTGCTGTACTTTTTTTTAGAGTACTGCCTGTTCCTGTACAGAGTCACATGCGGATAGAACAGAGTAAAATTATTTGTTTCCTTTGCAGTCCCAAAGGCCTAGATTAGCTGCCCACGTGTTGTATTGCCGCAGGAGGTCAGGTGGACTGGGGTCCCATACCTGGGGAAATAATATTTGGCTGCTCAGATTGCGCCACTGTCCTTACTCCGTTCCACTAAGCCTGCAACAGCTAATCGATTATAATCGGTAATGAGAATCGTTGGCACCGATTCTCATCATCGATTAGTTGATTTTCGATTAGTTGCTGCCGCTCTGCTCCTCCGTTCTCACAGCTGGTGCTGGCTGCAGCGGTCTGTTTCCCTTTTAATCCCCGCTACTCCTCCCGTCTGTATCGGCGGAGGCAGTGGGGAAACAGATGACTGCGGTGACTCTGCAAGCTCCCCGTTCCCCCTCCTCTGCTCCCCCATGCTTGCTCTTCTGCCAGTGTTCTATCAATCCCTGGACTCGAGTCTGGGGGATTCATAGCACATCGGCGTCAAGTCTCCCATCAGCGGCTGGAAACAATAGCCAGCCTGCTATTGCTTATTTTAAATTGCAAAAGCAGGCTGGCTATTGCACCTGCCTGCTGTCAATCATCAGAGGTGGGAACTGAAGGAGCACTTTCTCTTTCAGTCCCTTCCTCTGCTGATTGACAGAAGACGGGGGGCTGCAATAGCCAGCCTGCTATTGCAATTTAAAATAACCAATAACAGGCTGGCTATTGCTCCCAGCCACTGCCTACTGCGTTGACATTCAGCTGCCTCAGCAACTGAATCCAGTGAAGAGGAATAATGACACTAGGGGTCTAAAAGATCATTCATTTAAATTAGTAGCTTTGTAACATCTCTCCATCATTGTCTCGGCTGCCCACGCAACCTCACCCCTTTTGACGCTCGCTGCAATTCGGATCCACATTCGGCGGTCCTTACCTCCATGTTATATGCTGCCTTATCACCTTCCATAGGGGCTTTCAAACTTCCAAACTATATGCAGGTTTGCAATGGGATCTGGGAGAGTCCCTGGATTTGCCTGAATGGGAGAAGATCTGGTTCGCTGCCGCCACATGCTCACCTGATTATATTACTCAGGCTTTTTTTTTACTTCCTGGCCACCTGTCAGACATAATGATGCATGAAAAACTCATGGTAATTTTATCTGGTTCTCATTCCTCATTTTGAAAACAAGACTCTGTCTGGCTTGTATCCGCCTGATGAACCTTGACTGCACACAGCTCTCTGACTGGATGTGCTGCTGGTGGCTGGTTGGGCCTCGTTCTTCCCTGCACAGTTATCTTTCCCATAACGTCTTCCAGGACAGCATCACGAGATGGAATCTCCTCCCCCACACACAGGAAACACGTCACTTAATCTGCTTAAAAGACCCTCCTCTCCTCCACTCCCTCAGTCTTTTGTGTTTCCTCAGTCAAGCTGGGGAGCGCGTCACAGAACGCTGAGAGAGGGCTTCCATGTGGTGATGCTGCCCGGGAAGTCTTCCTTGTTGGCCTGCCTGTGTAAGGCAGAGGGGTAGGTTTGCCTACCTTGTGGAGCCCCAGGGATTCTCCTAGCGCTGCAGGAGATGAGGCTGGCTTCCTTTCCCCCTTCAGTGCCCAGTGCGGGCCGGTACCGGGAGGGCGAAACCCCCTTGGCTGGTCAGGGGAAGCGGTGGACCGCCGTTCAGAGGGGTCTGTCCGGTTCTCAGGGCCTCGGGACATGTTCCACGGCCAGGCCGGGTGGCCGCGTACGTCACTTCCGGCGTGGGTGACGTCATTTCCGGGCGCCGGGCTTGTGCGTTCCAAGCCTCGTTTTCGGCGCAGGAGGAAGGGGAGGGCTCGGCTGGTGCTACGGTTCTCGTGATGACTGAGGGAGTGGAGGAGAGGAGGGTCTTTTAAGCAGATTAAGTGACGTGTTTCCTGTGTGTGGGGGAGGAGATTCCATCTCGTGATGCTGTCCTGGAAGACTAATGGAAATAGAGTTACCGGTAAGTCCTAACTCTGAATTTTCTCCCTTTCCTTTCTCTCCTATTTCTTCTTACAATACCTTTTCCTCAAAATTTTAATATGGTGCCACATTTTGTTCATCAAGGGGCCATGCTAGGGCAGCGTTGCACTGCTAATTAGACTCTTGGCTGTTTGATTGCCTTATGGTACCCTCCTTGTTGGAGCTGTGGGGGTATCAACCCTGCTTAGTCTCCCC